CTTTCTGGAGCACGCTATCCGCGACAGCACGAAAGCCGCGTACGCTGTCTGCTGGAGACGCTGGCTTCGTTGGTGTGAATTCCGACGTGCTCCTACCACTAAAGTCCCTGTAAACCAGGTGTGCAACTTCCTGGCCGATATGGCCACGCGTGGATATTCTTACTCCTCTATCAACTCCTTCCGGTCGTGCCTCTCGTACAACTTGACTCCAATCGAATCGTTTAAAATGGGAGCTCATCCTACTGTGTGCCGCCTCATGCGAGGGGTAGTTCAACGTGAAGCCACCCGCAAAGCCCCGTGCGCCCGTCTGGGACGTTGAGCAGCTCCTGAGCTACATGGACGCGTGGGGAGCGTCCGATTCTTTGCCCTTGCTTCACGCCGCCTACCGCTCGCTGCTCCTCCTATTACTCACATCTGCCGCCCGCATAAGCGAGATTGCCGACCTCGTGTATCCACCGTCGTCTCGACAACCTCACGAATGGGATCTCACTTTCGGACGCGGTCTGACCAAAACGAGCCGACCCGGTCACCATTCCTCCTCTCTTACGGTAAAGGCTTACCCCCCAAATGACCTCCGGTGCCCCTTGGCGGCCTTGACGAGATACGTGGCACTCACGGCGCCCCACCGCCACCCGCCGGGTCCTTTATTCCTCACAACCCGCAGGCCTTTCCGCCCTGCTTCGAAAGACACCTTAGCGCGATGGGTCAAGTCCGTTCTCAGCGTCGCCGGCATAAACGCCCGGGTTCATACCGCACACTCCACTCGTGCCGCCTCTACCACCGCCGTCCACCTCCGCGGGGTTCAGGTCCCAGACATCATGCAGACCGCACAATGGACTAAGGCATCAACCTTCTACAATCACTACTACCGGCCTTCCCCGCCCTCTGCCATGTCCTCCGCCGTACTCGGTTCGCAACGTTAAAATCGCTATCTGCCCTCGGTGAACGAGGAGATCCGACGAAGTGGAATTCGTCAGCCTAGTCGACTCACGCAGTGGGAAGACTTGGCTGTAATTCCATGAGAAGGAGATACTCCTTCACCGAGGGCTCCCTCCCAAACCCATCCCTGTCTATATGATGGTCTCAATCAATTTTTATAACCTTCCCAATGTGCCTTCCTCAGGAGCTCCGCGCACCTAACCTCGCCACGGCTCCAGACGGAAACAAAGTTTCTTGACGACGCAAGTACGACGTCGCCTCCTCATGGGTCAACATGACCGTCAATGTTACTGTTAATTGCTCAAAGCTTTCCGATGTACATGGGTTCCAACGCCGTTGTAAACCACAACCCGAGACCGGCCTAAGTCCTCAGATCGATCCCACTATTCCAAGTCGGAGTAAACCCATCCGATCTCACTGAACAAAACTCTCTTCACTACAATAGATAACCACTTAGGTAACAATCTCAAGGGGCAGCGCTCTAGGTTCACCATGCGTCGCCGCGCTTCAACCTAACAAGTGATGCTCCGACCGCCGATCATCTGCTTGTTTTCTTCTAAAGACCGCCTGCTCGTCCTACCGGATCACAATCGCTATCTGCCCTCGGTGAAGGAGTATCTCCTTCTCATGGAATTACAGCCAAGTCTTCCCACTGCGTGAGTCGACTAGGCTAACGAATTTGAGTCTTGAGTCCATTGTGGAAACTCTTAAGTTTTTAAATATTGCCGGGTCGTTGTGTAAATAAACCCTTGCCATCACTTGTATGTGGCCAGCAGTCAGTCGATCACCGAAAAGGGAAACCGTGCGGAGTTTTTGTCTTGTCAGGAATAGTTTCGCTAGTTCTACCCCGATCCCTGGGAAAACCGATTAGAACTATAATCGACATTGGTGCCGTGACCCGAGCCTCAGAACCGGCGAAGAAATTCCGACAAGTCCGTGTTGAAGTGCAGGTAGACCCTACGAAACCGCGTGCTCTGCCTCGTCATGGCGAAGAAAAGTAATCCGAAAAACCCACCGAAAGCTCTCCAAGCCTTGTTGGACAGCGGATCACGATTCCGGAACCAGATCGACGAAATCATTGACTCGATTGAAGACCTCGAATCTGCCGATCCCAAGTTTCCCGACAATCAGCAGCCCGATGCCATATCCCTGCTATTGAAAGGACTTTTCGAAAAACTGCAATCGCTCGAGGACGGAATCACGATTCATCCGGATGTCGCCAACTCTGAATCTGAACAGCTCGATATGGAAGATATCGACAGATTTGAGCTCAGATTCCGCCGAGCAACCGCGGCGATCGACGCCGCTCACAGCAGGCGTGTCCGCGCTGTCGACACGACTGCCTTCTTCACGCCAGCGCGACCTCGGGTGCGTTTTCAGGAAGAGAACAATGAAAACGCGACCCGAAATGAACGCGCAGCTCAGCGACCCGAAATCTTCAAGGGTGACCGATTGAAGTTTCGCACCTTCATGAAACAATTCGAAATTTTCGTTTCAAAAAGTCCGAGAGCAGCCGACTGCGAACGCTTAATGGCTCTGAGGAAATTCGTTCCCGACGAGCCGAAACAGTTGGTCGACGCTCTCGAACTAACTGATTCGAACTACAAAATCGCATTCACGACGTTGGAAGAAAATTATTCTCGAGTCGATGTGGACAGAGAGCGCTTGCTCTCCGAACTTCGAAACCTTCCGAAAGTGCCCAGCCTGAATGCCGTAGCTGAACTGAGGAAACTCGTTATTCAAGTTCAGACAAACACCAAAGTTCTCGAAAGCCTCGGCGTCCGAATGGATTCCATTGCTGTCATGGTACAATCGTCGCTGACAGCGTCTCTACCACCGGCGCTCCGACAGTTATTCAAGCAATGGCGGAGAATCGAAGTTACTCGACAATCCCGCGAGCCGCCTCCTGCGATAAGAACTCCGAGTTCGACGTCGACGCCTGCTCACCGACTATTCGACATCACGACTGAAATCTCCGAGACTAGGTGTGACACCGACGCCAGCGAAGAGCCAATCGTGGAGCTCCAGCGAACAATTCGCTACGCTCTGCAACACATCCGAGATTATGAAGACAGTGGCTACCTTGATGCAGCGCTCGGAACGTCGAACAAGAATGAGGCGCAGGCGCCGAAGAAACCAGTCGGCAACAAGAAGCTCCTCGCAACGGTTGCTGCAGCGAACGGCAGAACGAGCAACGCGAGAGCGGAAAAACGAATACGACCGTGTCTCTTCTGCAATACTGCCGATCACAACTCGTCAAGATTCGCCGCGTCGTTCTCCATAGAGGCGCGACGGGAGATTTTGAAGAAGCAGAAAAGATGTCCGAAATGCTTCCTGACCGAACATGCAAAGCCTGGCGAATGTCGAGGGCCTCGCGTGTCGTGTAATGTTTGTAAATCGTCACAGCATCACACATCCATGCATGCTCCGGAGGACCACACCAGGCCAGCCAGCTCGGCTACACCGGTCATATCAAATGTCGTTGGTGGCATCAGCGATTGCGATGAGCCGACGGTTATGTTGACAGCCCAGGCATTCATTCTGCACGGTGCCAGAAAGATCCCGTGTCGAATCTTCTTCGACCACGGATCGGGGTTGGCGTTCATTTCTCCAAACACTCGTCGTTTGCTAATGAATGCTCAGCCTCTCAGCAACAGAAATCTGGTCATCGACACCTTTAAGAGTCAGGATGAATTCAGGGCAAATCGGTTTCGTGTTGTTCTTCAAAGCACGTTCGACGAGCACATCAAAATCCCAATCTTTGCCTATGAGCGAGCTTTCCCGGTGAATCCTAGAAACCCGCTGTCTCCGACGTCCCGTGAGGCTGTTCGAAAATTCGCAGAGGAGCATCAGCTGGCAGACGCTTCGCTGCTCAGTGGTGAGGCAAACGAGCAGCCCGGCATCATCATTGGCTTAGACCAAATCTACCGGGTTCTGCTATTCGACGCGCCGAAATCGGTCGATGGTTCTCTTGTGGCGCTCAACAGCCGCCTCGGATGGACCGTCGGCGGACCGCTCTCCTGTCCTCAGGCCGGCCTCGGAAGAGTGACATCCGTCAGCGCTGTCTGCTGCGTCGCGACTCTCTCCCAACAGTCAAAAGTGTTGCCAGCTGATTTTGCAACCAGCCCGGCGAAACTCGTGGAGAAACTATGGCGACTCGATACGATCGGAGTGGAGGACCAGTCCACTTCGTCCAGGTTGAGCTCCGACGAAAGCTCAGCCTTGCAGCAGTTCGAGCAAAGTGTGACCTACGACGGGAAAAGATATTCGGTGTCCTTCCCGAAGCGAGACTCAATCACCTCATTGCAAAACAACAGGAATGTGGCGCTGCGCCGCCTCCGAGGCAAGCTCAGACAGTTGATGAAATCGCCAGAAAAATACTCGCGTTACCATGAAGAAATAATGGAATTCGTCAAAAATGGCCACGCTTACGAAATCGACGGTCCTGCCCTGGGATGCTCCAATGAGGCAGAGGGAACGTATCATATGCCCCACCACGAAGTGGTAAGTTACCACTGGTAACTCGGAAGGGAACGTCGGAGAAATGGCGAATTGTGTTCGACTGTTCGGCGAAAGAGAAGACAGCTTCGTTGAATGAAAACCTGTTGCCCGGTCCAAATTTAAATCCCGACCTCGTTTCCCTGCTCATGAACTTCCGACTACACGCAATCGCTGTGTCGGCGGACATAAAGGCAGCTTACATGAGAACCGAAATCCACGACGCTGACCGCCGACTGTTTCGGTTCCTGTGGAGGGCCCCTGGCGAGGAGAAGATCAGAACCTTCGAGATGAAGAAAGTGACGTGGGGGGCTGCCTCCTCCGGGTTCTTGCTGGCGGCGACCATCCGCGGGCATCTCAAGAAAGTGGAGCCCCAGATCGGCGAGCGACTGGGAGATCATCTATACGCTGACGACTTCCTGCAAAGCTTCCCCAACCAGCAGCAGGCTATCGAATATGCCGACCGTCTGCGCAACGCATTACAGTCTGCCGATATGGCTTTGGCGAAATGGAAAAGCAACTCCAAGGACGTCACAAAGCATCTGATAGATGTCGGAGTTAAAGAAGCGGAATTCCAATCGAGTCCGAGCAACCTGTTCAGGGTCCTAGGCATCATTTGGTCGCCGACTCAGGATACCTTGAGCTTCAGCATCCCATCAGTGGATCCAAAGTGGAGCATTGTAACGGCGGTGACCAAGCGGGCAGCGCTGAGCATCACAGCATCAGTGTATGACCCACTCGGCCTTCTCATCCCTTACACAATCTGGGGCAAATTGCTCATACAGCGACTCTGGTCTACGAAACTACAGTGGGACGACCCCATACCCATTCGAAGCCGCGTTGAGTTGCTGGAGTGGTCGGAAGAGCTCTCCGAGCTCCCGCGAATCAACATTGAACGGCAGTACTCGAACGTCGGTGGGGACGTCCAGAGCTACCATCTACACGTCTTCGCAGACGCGTCTCCGTCGGCCTTCGCGTGCGCCGCGTACATCGAGTATCGCGTCCGAAACGGTGACTCGGGGTCATCGCTGCTTATGTGCAAGTCGAGACTCGCGCCGATAGACAAGCCACCAACACTGCCACGGCTGGAGTTGCTTGCGGCACTCCTGGCTGTTCGTCTGAAGAGGTTCATCGTCGAGCGCATCGAGGTACAGTTCGAGACGATCAGGTTCTACACGGACTCAACCATCACCTATCATTGGGTGACAGGATCGTCGCCAGGCCGATGGAAGGCATTCATTCACAATCGAGTTGAAGAGATCCAGCAAGAGTCGAGAGTAGACCAGTGGTACCACGTACAGGGCGAGCACAACATAGCCGACCTTGCAACACGAGGAATCTCTGCGCGGACACTCAGGGGAACCCTTGCATGGTGGCATGGACCCCGGTGGCTCCACCTGCCCGAGGGAGATAAGCCCATCTCCCGTCCGCGCTTGGAAGACAATGCATTCGAAGCCGCCAAAGAGGAAATCCGTCACACGTCCGCACCAACAACAGTAGCCGAAAGAACACATCCGCTGGATCTGGAGCTGTTCTCTTCGGCGTCCCGCGCGGTCCGCGTCATGGCTAACGCACTGCGATTCATCCGAACTGCACGGCGACAACCCTATGCAGCCGTGGCGGAGATACACCAAGTGGCTGAGCGACAAATAATACGATCCGTTCAGGCACAGTATTTCCGAAAGGAGATCCACGCAACTGAGGCGGGTTCGCCGCTCCCCCGCTGCTCAAAGTTGGGCAGTTTCGACCTCTCTATCGACGATGACGGAATTCTCCGCGCCAACCACCCGTTTGACAGAAGGACCTTTCTTCACTCACGACGAAAAGAATCCGATTGTCCTGCCTGGCGAATCTCGCTTCGCTCGACTACTCATTTACGACGCTCATCGAGTGAATGCACACTTCGGAGTGGCCACAATACTCAACCAAATCCGCCGACGTTTCTGGATAACTCGAGGTAGACAGGTGATTCAAGCAATCCTCAACAAATGCGTCGTCTGTAAACGACGCCAACGCCGTCCTGCAGACCAGATCGGAGCGCCGTTACCGGAACCGAGGGTAACCTTGTACGCCCCATTCCAAACAACTGGCATTGATTTCTGCGGACCTTTCTACACTCGAACGGAGACGGGAACGCAGGAAACCTACGTCGCGCTATTTACGTGTGCGGCCACTCGTGCGGTTCACTTAGAGATGACGCCGTTCATGTCGACGCCCTCAACCCATCTCGCTCTGTGTCGTTTTTTAGCTGAGCACCCCGCTTGTCTGCGCTTTGTGTCGGACAATGGTCGTTCCTTCGTCAGAGCAGCCTCGGACATAAAGCGGCTGTTCAACTCGGTTCGAGACCCGGAGGTGAGGTCACTACTTGAGGGGAGGTCGATTGAGTGGTCCTTCAACTCCCCGTGTTCCGCCTGGCATGGCGGATTCTTCGAGCGACTCGTCAAGACTACACTCTACAGCTCCGGTCGGCCCAGCAAGTCCGAGGACAACGACGCGCCCCAATCGTCACTGGCGACGTTTGCTTGCTGAAAGAGGACAAGGTTTCGCGCACTCGATGGTCTCTTGTTCGCATAGTCGAACGCCACCTTGGTCGCGACGAGCAACCCCGAACCTACACGATACGTACTCCCAACGGAAACATCACTCGACGCGCGGCTCAACTCTTATATCCATTGGAGGTTGTCGGAGACGAAGACCTCGCGAGCAATGAGCCATCCGTTCAAGATACATGATCCCGTTGCGCCACGCCCAGCCGGTGAGAGCTCAAGTCGCTCCTCGAGGCGCGGAATGTCAAATAATATTATGCATACAATAATTTGAGTCCATTGTGGAAACTCTTAAGTTTTTAAATATTGCCGGGTCGTTGTGTGAATAAACCCTTGCCATCACTTGTATGTGGCCGGCAGTCAGTCGATCACCGAAAAGGGAAACCGTGCGGAGTTTTTGTCTTGTCAGGAATAGTTTCGCTAGTTCTACCCCGATCCCTGGAAAAACCGATTAGAACTGTTAAAGGTCAAGATTCGTAGCTCTGGTCAGGAGTAGAAGAGCAGCCCGTTCAGGAATACACAGAGATGCGATCTTACGAGAGGGAGATACCACAGTGAATTTTATTCGAAATCTTAGGTCTTTTATACCTAGGCAGGAGTCTAAGCTCCTCCTTACATGTCCTGATCCGTACATACATATACATAGGATAAGGCTACCTTGGTCTATCATAAGTAGCGTCCTAGAATACTATTGGGTGTACCCAGCATGTGGGGTGCTAGCCCAATTTCGTACTACCTCAGGGGTATCATGCTAGAGTCGTAACTTCGGGGTGCAACCCCGGTGACTCACGTATTTTACTACTGTCACGGGTATATGGCCCCGTGGGTAGGTATGAGTCATAGTCCTAGTACGGAACGAGGACTAGTAGTTTCCAGTTTCCGCCTAAACCTCAACACCTCCCCTAACTGCTAAGTCCGAGTGTCTTCAGGATGAGGGAGCAGTCAGGCTCCGGGCACAATCCGCTCTCAGCAGTCAGCCTCTGAGAGTATTGAAGCGATGAAACTTCCTGAATAAACTGAATCGTCGTCCGCTGCTCGATTCCGAATTCGTTTTTCGCATGTCCAAACGGTATGCGACAAGTCCGGTTAGGTGCGCAGTAGGCCGGCACACAGCCGCATTCTCAGCGCTCAGCGCCAGGGGGCAGTGCGGCAGGCTCCCGCCGGAGGGCGCTTGAGCACCACAAAGGTGCTTTGCCGAAAATAGAATTTCCATTGATTTTCCATTGAATTTTCATTGGAGAGACAGGAATCACGGTCTCTGTGGATGAATATTATGGGTTCAGGGTTCTGCCTCCCCTCTTACAGAGAGTGGGAATCCTGTGGTGTAATTCTGAATTTTTATGGTTGAGCTGAGAGATCGAAATTTCGATAAGGTGCTCGGATTCCGCTAGATTTTTAGTCGTTGGAGTCCGTTGAAAAATCTTTATGCATTAGAAGCTGCGGCTCTGCGTAGCAGCACCGCGTCGGGCTCAGTAGCCAGACAGTAGTCTTGCTCTGTGGTTTCGTTTGAGAATGGTTGAGCTTCGTTCCGGAAGGTCCATTCCATCACCACCTGTAATTGTGCGTGGACCACGAGTGCGACGAAGAAACACAATGTCCAGGAGTCGTCCCCGAAGAACTTTTGAAGGACCAGAGCCCGCCGATATTTCCCAATGTTGGGGATCTTGGCTTTGGTCAGTTCTTGGATACGGAGGAGACGAAGACTCTCCCCGAGTTGAGCGGGAGAGGAGACGCAGAAGATCACAGGCAGCGCTAGACACTATAAGGCGGTTTGTACAACCCACAAACGCGAGCCGGAGCCCGGCCGCCCCAGTGCCGGAGCGTGTGGAAGAAGTTTGTATCGAGCTCAACGGAGCAGCCGAGGCCGAGCGACAACCAAGGAGGTTTTTCGGCAGATCACGTCTTGCCTGGGTTGCCATCGTCGTCGCCATCATGGTCTTTGTTGGGCTTGTTTCAGGCGCAGGTCAGTTTTCAAGCAGTCACTATTGCAGATAACAAAAAAAACTTGGACACAGTCATTATAGAGTGAGAACTCAGTCCAGCTGCTTTTCCCTCTTTTCAGCCATTGAGATTAGTCGCTCGATTCACGCAAAACAGCGCACTCGTCTGACGGTGGAGTTCGAGAGTGACGCCAGCATGCGATTCAACGAGCGCGCGTCAGCAGTGTCGGAGCGCCCCGTGAGCAAGGTCTCCATGGACAGTTTTGTCTGTGTCACCGAAACCCAGAGACTTTTGTGTTACTCCAGACTGCGTCACTGCTACTGCTCCGGGCAGGAAGAGGCTTCAAGCCCGAAACGGCGAGTGTAGTCAGTGGAGGTCCGGTGTCGCTTGAAGTCTGCAAGTTGTTCGAGAATCTTGATGAAGTGTTTTTCAGTGATTCATAGAATTTAATATTTCGTTTGGTCTGATTTACAGCATATTATCTGTTCTTGATTTAGTAGTCATCCTAACGATGCTTAGGGATTATTTTCTAATTGGTGGAGCGCGGGACTGTAGCGGGAATCATTTTCTGAAGGAATCCGCTCCTCGATCGGCACATGGAGACGGATCAGTTCATTGATTTTTCCCTTTAGTCGATGTTCCGATCGTTTGAGAGTGGCCGTGGCCAACCTCTCATTGCGGAGCTCCCTTTCCAAGTCGCGGATCTTCCTCCGGGATGCCTCCAGCTCGTGCAACGCTTTTCCACGATGCAGTTCCAGAGTGTCGGCCAGGTCTTCACTGATGAAGGCCGCCGCGATCACGAATTGTTCTTTGATCGCATTGAACACCCTCGCAGCCTGTTGACCTCGGGCCGAAGTGGGTGTTATTCCCAATTTGTCGAAGGTGCGGCGATCAGCGCTCGAGATGATCGAGTCCACTGGTCCAAGGTTGAGGAATTCCTTTTCCCCAGTTCTGACAACCTCGATCTTTGATGAGATCGGCGGCGACGGTGAGGCCGGCGAGTAAATATCGGTGTTGGTGATCATCGTCTTTTTGATATCCGCGGGCCTTTCATCTGTTTCTGTTGATGGTTCATTCGAATTATAGGGTTCTGGTGAGCCTGTTATAAGCCATTCGTCGCTTGGTGGACGAGGCGAAGTTGTCACGAAGAGTGGTGGTTTGTCGTATTTGCCCTCAGTAGGGCTGGCACTTCGGGATAGGACCTCGAAGTCCATGGTATCCTTCCAGTCTTCTTGCTCCTTCTCAATTATGTATTTAATTTTTATATCTGGTATATTATGTGCGGGATTTTCATCTAGAAGCGCGTATCTCTCTGAAAATCTGAGTTTTCGTGCCTCGTTACTATCCTCCACAGCAGCCAAATATGCATAGTACGTTTGCTGCTTTAATGGTAATTTCGGCCACCATTTATGAGCCGTGGCCTCAACGTGAGGCAGGAAATATCGACAATTGTATTTGCAATAATTGTCTAATTTCTTTTTGAATGTCCAGAAGGGTGAGGATTTCGGCATTTTAAGGTATGTGGGAGGAGGTGGGTCAGCGGTGGTAGGATCGGGGATTGTCTGGTAGGGAAGTAGGCTCTGGAAGTGGACGAAGGGATCTTAGTTAGTTGGGTCCACAAGCTGGGCAGAGTCGATGGTTGTTGGTATGTAGGGATTATCTATTCCATGCTCGGGCGATGGATTGGTGTACCGACGGTACGACATTTGTTTTCCTAGGCAGAAGCATGCAACACAAAGCGAAGGCCAACATTATAGTTATGGCCTTAGAACTCCTGCGCCAGCCAAAACCCAGTGTAGTACCTCATCCCTATCAGAGTGGGGTATATTGGGATGGAATCTGGCCTTGAATCGAGGCCAAATCTTTTCACCTCCAACAGGTGGGAGTGATGGTCTCATGCACACCACCTTGCTGCTTGACTGTTCCTCGCAATCCAAAAACGATGACGTGCAGCGATTGAAGAATTCATTGTTGCTTTCTTCGAAGCTGATGAGACAGCTTATGTTGTTCGAAACACAAGAACTGTCGCAGTCCTCATAAAAAAAGTAGTTCTGAGCGGCAGTTGACGAGAAGGAGAGAAAACCCACTACGAGAATGATTGTGAGAGAGGCTATGGTTGTAAACCAATTAAGGCTCTCAGCTTTTCGAACGTATGTTTGTTTAGGGGTTTCGTCAACGCGTCAGCGAGATTCTCTGATGTTGGGATGTACTTGAACTCGATTTGTTTGCGTTCGTGAGTCTCGCGAACAAAGAGAAACCGGACGGCAATGTGCTTCGTCCGTTTATGAAACTGTGGGTTATGGATCAGTTTCAGAGCCGCTTGATTGTCTACATAGACAATCGGGACGAT